CTTTTATCAAGCCCATGGACGATTTACTTATGGGTTTCCCATTAGAATTCGTCCATCCCTTAATACAAGGCAATCCATGGCCCAAATTGCAATTATCTTATAATTACAATTCCAGTCCCTTAAGTTTAATTAATCTCTTTTAGTCACAAAACTAATTACCAATTAATTATTGACTAATATTAATTAAACAATATGATTTCTCCTTTAATATATTATTCCCATAATATATTAATAAATCATATTTAATCCTTTCTCTCCATAATTTATCCTATCAAGTTGCTTCGGTGAAGGCAACCCAAAAGGACCATGCACCATCGGGTCAAGTACATACCAAAATAGTTATGGACTTAGACACTAATCCAACAATTCTTAGAACCAATTTGATAATCGTGTCTACTAAAAAGGAGTTGTCACAAGATTCCTACATATATATGTTGCTATATGTTGACGATATGGACATTGAAGCCAAGGACATGGTTAGAATAAATAACTTGAAGGCGACCCTGAAGAATGAGTTTGAGATGAATAATTTGGGAGCAACAAAGAATATACTAGGGATGGAGATTAAAAGGGCTATAATAGTGGGATGATTATGTATTTCTAAAAAAAAATTACATTAAGGAAGTTCTAGAATGTTTCAACTGTGATCAGTCCAAACCCGTTAGAACTCCTTTGATGGCTCACTTTAAACATGGTCCAGATACTATACCTACAACTAATAAAGAAGGGAAGTAGATGAGCATGGTTCCTTACTCTAGTGTTGTTGGAAGTATTATGTATACAATGGTCTTTACCAAACGTGATTTGGCTCATTCAATTAGTATGGTAAGCAAGTTTATGATTAATCTAAGGAAGGCTCATTGGGAATCTGTCAAGCCCATCATGCAATACTTAAAGGGAATGATGAATGTTTGCTTGGCGTATGCAAATAATATGAAAACTTGCTTGGTTGGATGTGTTGACTCTGATGATGAAGGTAATTTGTTGAACCACAAGTTATAGAGATGTTATATTTTCACTTTATTCGGATGTGCCATCAGTTGGAAGTCAACAATACAAGATACTATTGATTTGTCTATAATTGAATCCGAGTACATGTCTATGATGGAAGGAATAAATGAGTTACATGGGCTTATTCAGAGTCTTGGTATAAAAGTGGAGAAGCCGACATTGCTATGACAGTTAGAGCATCTTGAATCTTGCAATTAATACTATGTACCATGACATGATGAAGCCTATTGATGCCAAATTGAATTTCATTCGTGACATTCTGGAAACGAATAGGTTCTCAATTTTGAAGGTTGATACCAAGGTGAATCCATCAGATATATTAACAAAGTTGTTGTCTGTCAAGAAGTTCAAGCTTTGCTTGGACTTAGTCGATGTTCTCAGGAGGTAAGTCCCTTTGGGGCTTGATGGATGGAAGGGAGAGGAAGTTCTTGTTTAAGGTAGAGTTCAGAGTATGTTCAAGTCAATGTGGAAATTCTTAAATGTTAATTGAGAATTTGGAGCATTCTCATGGAGTAATTGGGCTCAATGGAGCACTTGGGGTTCATAAAGCATGTGACAAAGGAACATATATTTTGAGAATGGAATGGATCATCAGAAAATGGAACAGATCTTCCAAAAGTTAGTTATGGAGAAACTTGGATCAACATAGAGTAACATGGTCCAACATGTTGAGCCATGGAGATGTTAGTTATAGCGATGTTGAGCCAAGATGATGTTGAGCCATGAAGATGTTGAGCCAAGGTGATGTTGAGCCAAGGAGATGTTGAAACAAGGAAATGTTGAGCCAAGGAGATATTACGCTAAGGAGATATTGTGCCACATCTATGAGAAGTTACGCCATCTTGATGAGAAGTTGCACGATAAAGAAGATGTTAGGCTATCATGGACCATCTTGGTACATGATGCGCCATCTCGATTCCTTTGTTGTGTCATATTGATCCATATATTATTTGAAAATGATCATGCTCAAGAAATATATCATGTTATGCCACCATGATGAATGTTGGACACCATTAGTGTTCATGATGTGCCACCTGTGCATCATTTGCTCCATTATGGTCAAGGTGGTTCATCATGTGTGTTGCTGATGCTCATGGGTTGTATGACATGGAAGAATGTTCTAGAAGATGTTGCATGGTGAAATATGATTGCTTGTCACCATTAATGGGCCTATGGGCCAATGGGCTAGCTCATTAGGGTTTCAGGTATGATCCATCAAGTATAAATAAGGATGCATTCTAGGTCATTTTGTATCTTGAATTCTAGAGTGTTAGGCAAATTTTTATGAACATTGTATTTGTAACCTCTGTTTGAGAGCTCTAAAATAAAGAATACTCCCCTCCAGTATGTAGACGTAGGTCACCTTGACCTAACCACGTAAATATTGTGTCTTGTGTGCTTTTGGTTTTGCTAGTTATTCGCTTTACATCTTAACACTTCCTTACAAAAACACATGATGGTTGGGAATAAAAAAATCCGCACAAGCTTTTTGCATATAGTTCACTAACCTTTCAAAAAATTGACGTTTAAATTTCAGTGTTAAGCCTTTTTCACTGGATTTACGAAAACCTATGAGTACTATGAAGGATATCGGGGTTAGTTCATGATATATATGCTATCGATAAAGGTGTTAGTTTTAGGTTAATCCATTTTTGCTTATGGGTTATATATACACCAGATTGGAGCCTTTTTCTTAAGAAATATTTTGGTCCTCAAGTTAATATATATATATATATATATATATATATATATATATATATATATATATATATATATATATATATATATATATATATATATATATATATGCAAAAGTTCAATAGAGAACCATTATTATTCAAAGAACCAATCCAAAGCGTCGGAATTTAAAGCGATCAACGGCAAAAGGAAGGGTTGTAAATTTTTATAATGGACGTACATGTACCGAATTATAACAAAACTCACCTCCTTTTTCTCATTTAAAATTTGTTTTAGGCCAAGTTTTTTATCGAAAAAAAAAATCTGAATATACCGTTGTTCACGATTTTTCGTCCTCTTTCCATAGAGATCAATGATGATATATATAAAAAGATTTTTTCTTTTCGAAAAAAACTCACTTAATTTTACTATTTTTTTCAATATTTAAGCTTTTTTTTTATAAAAAAAACTAATTATACCAAAAATATTAATTTTTTGTACTTTATTAATAAACATCAACACCGATTAAAAAAAAAACCTCGAACAGTGTTGATTCACACTGTGAATCTAAACTGTAAATATTTAAATTTTTAACATTCACAATTTGAAAAATCTCGAATAGTTCAGATTCACATTGTTAATCTGAGAAGGTTCAAAAAAAAAAAACCATCGATCAGTGTAGATTCACATTGTGAATCTAAACTGTAAATATTTCAAATTTTAATTTTCAAAATGTGAAAAAGCTCCGATCAGTTCCGATTCACACTGTGAATCTGATTTATTATTATACACACTGTGAATCTGAGGAGGTTCATAATGTGAATCTGAACAGGTTTACAATATGAATCTGAACAAGTTCATAATGTGAATCTGAACTGAAATATGGTTTTTTTTTTATTTTTTATAAATATGAATATCAATCTATGTTTAAAAAGTATAAAAAATATGAATTTTGATATATTTATTAATTTTTTTCTATAAAAAATAGACCTTAACTTTTTTTCATTAAAGAAAATGAAGTGGGTTTTTTTCGAAAAAAAAAAGTTCGTTTTTTATATATCATCATGAATCTCTATGGAAAGAGGATGAAAAATCGTGAACAATGAAATATTCGGGTTTTTTTTTTTTTTTTTTTTGATAAAAAAAACATGGCCTAAAAAAAGTTTTAAACGAAAAAAGTAGTGAGTTTTTTTGTAAATGGTGGATTTTTTGGTATAATCTGGTGTGTGTGCGTCCAATGTAAAAGTGTACATCTATTTTCTTAGCCGTTGATCGTTATTTCCGATGCTCGCGATTAGTTCCTTGGTTAATTATGGTTCTCTATTGAACATCACCATATATATATATATATATATATATATATATATATATATATATATATATATATATATATATATATATATATATATATATATATATATATATACACGGTGAGGTTCAAAAGAGAACCATAATTAACCAATGAACCAAATTTTTTTTCAATTTTTAGAACTTATTTTTTATCAAAAAAAAAAAAAACTAAAAATACAGAAATTCATAACTTTTTATTCTTTATCTAATGATATAAAATTCGATTTTTTTTACGTCAAATTCACAATGTGAATCCTTGAAAATTCACAATGTTAATCCGGATTCATACGGTGAATCCGAAAAATATTTTTTACATTCACAATCTTAATAAATTTAGATATTTTTAGATTTTTTTAATAAAGAATAAGTTGTAGAAATTGAAAAAAAGATTTGGTTTCTTGAAGAACCAATAATTATGATTTTCTATTAAACTTTTCCCTATAAAAATGTGTTTTGGTTTAAAGGTTAAGGTGTCTGATTTGAACATGAAGATTTACTTGCACTTGTTTGATATTTAGGATAAAAACATATAAAATAAGTTGGATTAAAAGGTTGGCTATGTTAATAATAAAAATAAGAAAACTGACCACCGACGATTTCAGAATCTTGGGTTCTTGATGATCGGCTATCCACCGGCAGGGCCAAACATCGGTAGATACTTACAAGGTCGGTGGTATTTCTGATCAACGAGATGGGCAGTAATGAATGGGGGTAAACACAGGAACGTGCATGGTGTTTCTAGGGTTCAACATGGTAGTCTTGTTTCAAAAAGTAATCATGTGAGTTTTGAGGTATCGTCATTCTTTATTACAAACTTCCTTGGGTCGGTACAAGTTATTAATATGTGGCATATATGTGGTCGTTTGGGTAATATGGTTGATGCATTTATATCGAAAAAATTATCTCGTATAGGGAAACGATTTGGATTTATCAAATTTTCTAATGTCCGTCACTTTGATCAAATGATTAAACAACTTTGTGACGTGTGGTTTGGGACTTATAAGTTGTTTGCTTCTTCACCTCGTTTCCAAAAGGAGGGTACTAAACAACCGAAAAAGCAGATTGTGTCCAAAATTGTTGATCATCCAATTCATACTTTTCATGTTCCCTCCCCTGTTAAATCGTATATAAGTATAGTAAAGGGAACTGCTTTGGAGAATTGTAGTAAAACACAGATGGAGGAGATTATTGATTTATCTTCTAGAGATTTTGTTATGGAAAAAGGTAAATGTGCTTGTTTGGTGAAGGCGATAGATTTTCTCACTCTGCCTAACTTGTATATGCTTTGTTTAGAAGAAAGGTTTCAAGACTTTGATATGAAATATGTTGATGGTTTATGGGTACTGATTGGATTCAAATCTAAGCATGCATGCTTGTAAAATTTTTATGAGTTCTGATGTGGTGGATCATTGGTTATTGGAGAAACGAGTATGGGATCATAATTTTGTTCCATTGGAACGTATTGTGTGGGTAGATATCGAAGGGTTCCCATTGAGTGCTCAAACGTAAGATGATCTTGGGGAAGATGTGTATAAGAACCGGGTATGTATTTTGACGACAACATAAAATATAATTTCTAATATTGTGAAAGTTCCTATGGATGGTACTTTGTTCACTATTAGCGTCAAAGAGGCCCCGAGTTGGATTCCTTCTTTTGTTTATGATATTCCAAAAGTGGAGATTGAAGGTTGTGAAGGTTATGATTCTTAATGTGATAAGGAGAATGATGATGGTAATATTTCTTTGAATGGTAAAGACCAAGAATCATTGGACCTGTTTGGAATTTAAGAAACAATGGAAAGAATGAAAGAACACAAGTGAAAAACAAAATGTCAAGAGGATTTAATGGTTGGGCAATGGAAAAAATAAAAGGAACTATAAGGAAGATCTGTAGGGGCAAAATGGGAATAAAGCTTCAGAAAAGATGCATAATGTTCACTCTGCAGGTTCGGTGTTTGAAAAAACTTTAAATATGTCTCATGCTGACTCGAGCTTAGGATTTCCTACTGCTCCGGTCAAGCCTTCTGTTTCGACTGCTATCCTGTTTAATGATGTTGTTCACCATCCAACCGAGTGTCTGTTAGTAGCTCCTGTTGCGCATCTGTTGTCGTCAACTTCTGCTGAGAAGTTTCTGGTGCAGGTTCCGGTGGTACCTGTTGTTGTTACTTGTAAGAAGACTGTCAAATGTTGTTCCGGTTGGTTTCTCGGGTGGATATGCTTGGATATCGGGGGTTGAAGTTTCGAAGGATTCTTTGTCACATCCCCCGGGTTTTCCTGACAGATTTTATGGTGGTAATCTTTTGAATTCAAATGGCTTTATAGTAGAAATTCTATGGTGGAGGAAACAAACATGATGATGGAAACGGGTAAAAAAGTTGTTTTTGACATGGATGGCTGTTTTGTGCATGTTGAAAGTGTTATTGAAGGAGAGGGGATTAAAAAAATTAAATCATGAATTGTTTGTCGTTAAATATCCAAGGAGCGGGGTGTATTGAGAAGCGGGTTTGGGTGAAAGTGTTATGTCATAAATTTAAAGTGAAATTTTTAGCTATTCAAGAAACGAAGACGAAATTTATTGATTTGTTGACGGTTCGTTCTTTCTAGGGAAATGTTTCATTTTCTTACGCTTATTATCCTTCTCGTGGAGCATTGGGGGGTATTCTTGTCATTTGGGATCATAATCAGTTTTGTAAAAAAAAACGTGTGTTTTCTTTGATTGGTATGTGGCAGGGGAGGGGGTTTGGTTATCTTCTAGATTGGAGGTGTTGTTTATTTCAGTTTATGCCCAGCAACATAATGAGTGTAAAGGTTAACTTTGGGAGAGAGATTTTGTCACAACTGGAAAATTTTCAAGTCTAGAAACCAAGCCAAAGAAGTCCCGTATATGCAATAGTTGTAGCTATGCTATTATTATGCTTGGGTAAGGTAATGTTTTTGAAAATTACACTACCCTAAAGCCTCCTAAGTTGATGAAAAACAATAAGAAGTTTAAGTTATGTCAAATACAAATTACATAAACAACAAAATACACTTATTAAGGCTTTCTAAACACCTAGACCATGAACTCTTCCCTAGAAACACACTTTGACCGTGAACTACCCTGTAGGGAACATGTTGGCCGTGAACACACCCTAAGAAGCCATTTTGGCCGTATACCCCCTCAAGCCATCACATATTGGCCGTAAACCACCATAAAGGGAAGCATCTTGATTGTGAACACCATTCTAGGCACCTTTTTGGCCGTAAACCCCTTAAGGGATTCCATTTTGATCGTAAACCATAGTTTAAGGTCCATTTGGACCGTAAACCCTCCTCATTTCAATGATGTTTACGGACTATGAGTTGTAAGTGACAAATTCCAAGAGATATCTTAGTTATTCACGCATTACCCAACAGTAGTCAAAGTAAACATCATATTATCTTCCTTATCCCTTATTAAGACCATAAACCCCATGTTCCATTTCACAAATTCATTTCCACATTCTGTAAACCTTCTATGAACTCTCTCAAGAATTCAACCATGAACTCGAGTGACCATTTCCTCACAATCCCATCTAAGTCCCTGTAAATTAATTCATGTCTAGTAATGTTTTAGACATTTAGTCATTTAAATCTCCTACTCACACATAAATTATGTCTTCACCACCATATGATAGCAAAATTCCTCCAGAAGTTCATTCACACATCAAGTGTTCTAGGCTCCAAATTTCTCACCACACCTCTTCATCTACACTATCTCCTACCCAAGGTGAGCTTCATACCCCTCTTTTTGATGTTTTCATAGTTTTTGGGGGAGGATACAAGTCAAGGTCTTGTGAAAATTTGGTATTGCTTGTTTATGCATATACGTTATGATTTATGTGCTTAGAATTATGAACTCCATGTAATGGTTCAAGAACTCGAGATTTGTAACAAGTCTTAAGGCTTTAAACTATATATCACAAAGTATATGCTAGAACTACAAAAACTAACATGTTTATGAAATATAATTCATACATGGTTATATCAAGAATCATAAGGTTTTGCTTCAAAAATGTGTTTAAACAAGTTGTTGAACATAATATTTTGGAAATGGTTAAATTGGAATATTAATAATATTTTAGGGACCACCATTTTCGGCTACATATATATATATATATATATATATATATATATATATATATATATATATATATATATATATAATGACCATTTAGGAAAATGAAATACAACTGAAGAGTTAGTGAACATCTCAATTTTTAAAGGACCAAAAATGATATTTTTGGATAAACAAGGGCCTTTTTGAATTCTTTATCAAATATAAGTCTGAAATGAACATTTTAGAAGAAATGGGCCATTTTCACACATTTCACCAAGTTTTAGGCTACCTATGACACCTTTTTGCAAATATGGGTCTTGTTTGATAAATATAAAAAGGAAGGGCCATTTTTGCCAATGCTGATAATTTTGGGTCATTTTTTATAATTATGATCCCAAGTCGATTATCCTCAAGAAACGAAAACGATAAACCTAGTCAACCAGCACAAGTAATGTTATTTATTAAATAACGGATCTTATCGATTGCTCAAACACCTTCATTGTTCGCTACAGCTAGACCAGCCAGTCTAGGGTGACAAATGTCTCTAAACAAAAATGGGCGCCTGAGAAACGCCAAGACAAGTCTCTGTCATATTAGTATGGTTATAGTGGCTCACTAGAATATGTTTAGAATTTTATGTAAGGAAAAACTTCATAAATAAATTTTGGCACATTGTGTTGACTGCCCTATGCACGGTAGTGATGCTCCGTATTTGTTGTGTTGACCATCCACTCAACTTGTGCGGAATGTCTACGATCGCCATGTTGATTTCTTTCACCCAACAAGTATTAGAGTCTTAATACTATGATTTTTACAAACCAGAAATTAGAGGATTTTCTGGGGAAAACGATTGTATACAATTTTGAAAACTATAAACTAACACACATGTGTGCAAGGATACTCAATTGGAAACAAAACTTACGATTATTTTATACAAGAAAATATAGGATTTTCTGGAGTAAATGATTTTATACGATTTCGAAAACGATAGACTAAAACACACACATGTAACTATACTCAATTGGAAACAAAACTTAAGATTATTTTATACAAGAAAATATAGGATTTTCTGGAGTAAATGATTTTATACGGTTTCGAAAACGATAGACTAAAACACACACATGTAACTATACTCAATTGGACACAGAGTTTACCCCACATAGTCCACATACTCACACACATGTGGTTCAGGAATCTTGGTCTATGGTTTCTAATAGGGAGGTTATTCTTAACCCCTGTGTTATTTTTAAGAAGAAACTCCAGCTTCTTAAATCTAATCTTAGGGTCTGGTATTCTTCTACTCGTGTTGGTATGGATGATAAAAGAAAATTGTTACAACACAAGATTGAATCTATTGATGCTATTGTTATGTTGGGTGATGGTAGTGCTAACCTACGAGTATAGCGAGTTTCAATTTTAAAGGAGTTGACAAATTTATATCACCTCTTGAGAGTGGATCTTGTTTAGAAGACGAAAGTTTAGTGGGGTATTGAGAGGGATGAGAAGTCTGGATTTTTCATGGTTCTATTAATAGAAAGAGATGTTAGTTAGTAATCAAGGGCATTGTGGTTGATGGTGTTTGGGTTGCTGAACTAGGGATGGTTGAAAATGAATTTCATAACTTTTACATAACTCTCTTTTCTAAGAAGAGTGGGACTCGTCCTTCTACATATCCTGCTCTTTTTCATACCCTTTTGGAGGTTCAAGTTCAGTTCCTCTAGGCTCCTTTTTCTCATGATGAGATTAAAAGGGCAGTTTGGGATTGTGATTCTGATAAGGCTCCCTGGGTAGATGGTTTTTCTTTTTGTTTCATTGAGCGTTATTAGGATCTTATTTCTTTAGATGTGGTTGGCGTTTGTTCAACATTTTCATTCTCATTCTTCTATCCCTAAGGGTTGCAATGCCTTTTTTTTCAACCATCCCCAAGGTTTGGGATCCGAAGATCATTAAAGACTTTAGACCTATTAGTCTTATTGGTAAGTTGTTAGCTAATAGGATATCGGAGGTTATTGGTTCTGTTGTTAGTTTGGATCAGTATGCTTTTGTTAAAGAGAGATAAATTTTGGATATGCCGTTTCTCTTGAAGGAGGTGGTTTCTTGGAGTAAGACTTCGAAAAATCCACTTATTTTTAAAGTGAATTATGAGAACGCTTATGATTCTTTGTCTTGGGAATATCTTTTAGAGATCACGTATATTATGGGATTCGACTCTATATGGTGTGACTAGATCAAGGAGCTTTATGAGTATGGCTAGGGCTTCGGTTCTAGTGATGGTTCTCCTACTGACACGTTTTAGATTTG